CAAGACCTCTTTACAGTACTCAGGTGTACTTTAATGGAATAAACTTTCCCAACACATTAGACTTTCCCAATCTCTACGAGCATTTAAGCGTAATGTGAAAAATTACATCATCAGCTGTCATACAATTATTTGAGCATAATTAGTTGTCCTAATCATTTAGCGGAATAATTGTGTATTTATCATGTAAGTGTGATAATTTATATAACAATTGCAAAAGAACAGAAACGAACATGGTTTAAATTCTGAACTAAGAGCAATGCATGCTGGTTTTAGTTGTTAATGCTTCCATTGTTTTAGACAAAAGGACATTTTGCTCCTAATTATATCAAAAATAGTACAAAGTCTAATTAAAAGGGTATTCAAAATAAATAATTTAAAAACATGTATTTTACAAACATTTAATTCTTGAGAGGTCAAAAGTAAAATGATGGAAGAATGCAGTCGTTCTGCTCAACATGTAGTGTGTGAAGTTTGTGAAGTTTATCGAGCAAAATTCGTAAGCAAGACATGTGTTTGGTACATCTGCATGACTTGCACTGCAAAGCACGAGAAGAGAAGATTTGCCAAATCATACGAGATAAAAGAATGACAGAAATTATTGAATGGACTGTCCATCAAACATGTATGCTATTTTTTCTGTTTACTCTGTCAGAAACCAGTATGTTCTAAATTTCGTAACCAAAGACATATAGGACACACAGGGCACACGGTTGAAAGCCTGGATGAAGCGTACGATAAATGAGAGCTTAACTTCATTGAGATAAACACCAAATAGAGGTAATATAACTACAAATATACTAGGATCGCCTGTTAAAGGAAGAAGCCAGAGAAACAGATTTTTCTAAAAGAATAGGTAAAATTTAGAAGCAAATAAAAGACCATACAGGGAAGATCATAGTGAAAGTTACCATTGTAAAAAGGAGAATACGAGACCTTAGACAAGGAAGAATATGGAGATAACGAACAGTGTTATGGGTCAGAATTACCCCAAATGCCATTAAAGATCAATAACACAATTTAAACTTAACAATAATTTATTTACAGTAATATCTAATAAATATATCAAACATAAAGTACAAACTTAGCAAGAATCTAAAAATACATACATCAGAGTGTCCGTTGTTGCACACAATGTCCCAGTGAAAATATATCCCATCTATATCTCAATAGTGCTTATACAAAAAAGTATTGTAAATGCATCGAATTGACAGGGTATTTATACAGTAATATAAATCTAGAATATTCTAGAAATTGTTAAAACATGATATTACTGGAACAATCTGGACATACACAAAATTTAAGAATAATCTAGATAAAATGACCAAACATGTTGACCACTCTGGAATGTTCAAGAAACTTAATGTTACTAATTATATACATAATGAAACAATATACATCTCACAACAACAGTATTCAATATCAAAAGTGGTAAAACAATACAAAATAGGAGCAGAGCAAACAAGGACTTCCAAAACATCAGCGTTGGGATCAGGTGCCATGGAGAAGATTGGTCATCACAAAAAAGTACAGAAGATTGGTTGATTGTATATTGTTTAACGTCCCTCACGAAAATTTTTCACACATATGGAGACGTCACCGTATGCCGGTGTTACGACGAAAAGTGACCCCGTAGAATACTAAGTATTGTCCAGGAGGTCATTTTTCTACATAGGAAAATGACCCCGGGTCAATATTCTACGACAGTTAGGGTCATTTTTTCGATTGTAGAAAAACATTCAAGACTCCAGTAATTCTACGACTCCATACACACTGAAAATAATCCCCATAGAAATTTGACTCCCTACTTTTTCTAATACTATAAAACCTTATATCTGTGTATACTGATATTTTTTTCATACTTCAAATTTAAATAAGGGGAGTTTTTTATGTACTATAATCCTTTTCAACATATATTTGATTGCATATCTTAAAAGTAACATCAAAATCAGTGTACAGTGTATCTGGTATTTTTGGCTTGAAGAATGAAATGAAAATCTTCTAGAGTACCGTGCAACAATATATTCAAGAAGTGGTGTGAATCAGAAATTCCAAAGAACTTTTGGAAAATTTGAAATCACATGATTTTTTTCCAAAATCAACAGCTTAAACCTACAACTTTTCAAGTTTATACGCATCCATTTCCAATGATAAATTAAAGTCTAGGGTTTTTTTTCTTACATCATTGACAGGTGCTTTTTAAATACAAATTGGAACTCGTTAATTTACGTGAATTATTTGCAAAATTATTTTGTTTATATACAACCTGATTGCTTACACACGTGTAGCGGGTATTCCCGGCAATATGATGGAAAACACCAGTTGATAATTTATACGTTTATTTTGCTGATATCTTTAGCTGATTGGAATAATGGAATATAATAACGACGTCCTGCAATATACAAATTGCGTCATAAAATATGTACAAAATAGTATTTCAATTAAACATTCCGATTATAAAATATAACAAAATAATCTGTCTTCCCTTTTACAATTAATTATCATTATTTACTATGATAATACACAAGAAATATACTTTACACATGATATAAGGGAAATAACTCTAATAACACTATTACACTTCACAAACTTGTGAAGAGTTATCTTTCTTTGATATTTCTTTACAAATCATAAAAATATAAAGATAGACATACCAATTTATGGAACTTAACTTTCTCCAATGCAAGTTTACTTATTCGTTATATATGGAGATACCTATGTACAATAAATGTAATAATAAGGACTTGCTCTATACAAATACCTTTATCAAAATAAATAATTATTTAGATTATTAACAAGTAAAAAACTTACATTTCAGGAATTATCTTAGGTCTCAAGGTCTTAGGAAATAATACAAAATCAGCAACAAAGTAAACTACGTCTTCTCCATATGAAATAAGAGTTCTAGAGTCTAAACTGAATAAAACTCACTACACCACAAAGACCAAAACACTGACCAATGAAAACTAAGCATTTCAAACCTTGACCAATAGATATGTGTGTGGTCATGTAAAAGTGTATGTACAGGTGTGGATCCAAAGGGGTGTATATCTATAGCACTAAATATCCAAGTTAGTAAAGAAGGAAAGAATAGACTTTAACGAAAAACTTATCATTTAATTATAACTTATTTAATACTTTCTTTAGTTAATATTATTTATATCTTTTATTTATTTTATGCCATTTAAAATCAATCCAACTTTTATTATTTCAAAGAAAAGTACCTCTACTACACACGTACTCTAAATTTGACATAATAAGATACCTGAGTTTCTCATTCACAATTTGTATGCGGCTTTTGGAGACCGGGTCTTCCAACAATCCATTGAAATTGCAATGGATAACAACTGCGCTCCGTTAATAGTACACCTATTTTTACACTCAAATGAAGCAGGCTTTTTGCAAAATGTTATGTATGAAAAGAGGAAAACACTTGCTATGGCCTTCAACTCGACATTTAGATATATCGACGACGTATTGTAAATTAACAATGTCAATTTCCATTCCTACGTCGATACAATATCCTGGTGAGTTTGAAATAAGAGATATCACAGAGTCTGACACATCCCTATAGGCATTCTGCCCGCCTTATCCGCCCATCTTCTTTGTTGCTATTTTTTTCAACTATTTATATGTAAATTGCAAACTCGATTTATAATTCATTCAAGTAAATTCATATACAACAAGAGGCCCAGGGGCCACAGCGCTCACCTGAGCACATCAGCTAGGAAAAAACACATATCAGATCAGAACTGAAAGTTAATTCAAGTTGGGGGGGGTTGAATTTTAACCCCCAAGTGGATCATAATTTGAACGAACTAGAATCTATATTACCTGAGGATGATTCTATACAAATATTACTAATCCTAGCTTTGAAATACTTGAAAAGAAGATTTAAAAAGGTTTCCCTTTATATTTCTATGTAAAACTTTGGTCGGCAATTTTGGCCACACCCTTACCCCGGGGTCATGACTTGAACAAACTTGAATCTACACTACCTGAGGATAATTTCACATGAGTTTCATCTTTCCTTTTTCAATGGTTCTTGAGAAAAATATTTTTTTCAGGTTTTTCCTATGTATTCCTATGTAAAACTTTGATCGGCCATTTTGGCCCCGCCCTACCCCCGGGGGTCATGAACTGAACAAACTTGAATCTACTCTACCTGAGGATAATTTCACATGACTTTCGTCTTTCCTGTTTCAATGGTTCTTGAGAAGATTTTTTAAAGATTTTTTTCCTATATATTCCTATGTAAAAACTTGATCCGCCATTTTGGCCCTGCCCTGCAACCGGGCGTCATGACTTGAATAAACTTGAATCTACACTACCTGAGGATGATTCCACATGAGTTTCATTTTTCCCTGGCCCAGTGGTTCTTGAGAAGAAGATTTTTAAAGATTTTTCCTATATATTCCTATGTAAAACTTTGATCGGCTATTTTGGCCCCGCCCTACCCCCGGGGGTCATGACTTGAACGAATTTGAATCTACACTACCTGAGGATGATTCCACATGAGTTTCATTTTTCCCTGGCCTAGTGATTCTTGAGAAGAAGATTTTATAGATTTTTCCTATATTTTCCTATGTAAAACTTTGATCGGCCATTTTGGCCCTACCCTGCAACCGGGCGTCATGAATTGAACAAACTTGAATCTACACTACCTGAGGATGATTCCACATGAGTTTCATTTTTCCCTGGCCCAGTGGTTCTTGATAAGAAGATTTTTCCTATATATTCGTATGTAAAACTTTGATCGGCCATTTTGGCCCGACCCTACAACCGGGGGTCATGACTTGTACAAACTTGAATCTACTTTACCCGACGATGATTCAACACGAGTTTCATCTTTCTTGGCCCAGTGGTTCTTTAGGAGAAGATTTTTCAAAAATGCCAATAATTTTTCTGTAAATCATGATTTTCTCCCCTTGGAAAAGGGCGTTGTCCTTCATTTGAACAATTTGAATCCCCTTCACCCAAGGATACTTTGTGCCAAGTTTGGTTGAAATTGGCCCAGTGGTTCTTGAGGAGAAGATGAAAATGTGAAAAGTTTACAACGACGACAACAACAACAATGACAACAAATTTTGATCAGAAAAGCTCACTTGAGCCTTCGGCTCAGGTAAGCTAAAAAAAACTAAATATTTACAGGTAAAAGGAAAGTCTAACAGTGACGGAAGAAACTGCCTGTATTCAGTGGTAAAGACAAAACTAACGGGTAACCATTTGAAATCAACTTATCATTTATTTGCTCTCTCAAATTCTGAAAGTGACATTATTGACCTATCAATCTGCATTTGGATAAGTATGCGACTAATCCCATTTTTTTCTGTTGCCAGTTTTAGCTGCAAGTCGTCTATTTGTTTCTTCATTTTTTCAATTTTTTTTTTCTTTGACAATTCCTCAGTTTGCAAGTTAGATTCCTTCGACTTTGAAAATTTTGGACATTTTCCGAAGTGATTTTCTGATATGAAAAGATCACCAGGTTTAAAGTCAATAAGTTTGTAATCATCTGTAGATGGAAGTCCTTGCATATCCTGCAAGGTATTAATGTCAATATTCTTGAAAAATACAATTCCAGGATTTGCTCCCACATTATTGGTGATGTCTTCATTGAGTCTACAGAGTGTTTCAATTCTCCTTTCAATTTCATGCTCTGTGTCTTCAACTGATTTTAGGACCGTCTTTTCTTCTTTTTGTAAATCCTGTAAAGCATTCTCTTTCAGCATTGTGACCTTCTCTATTATTGATTTTGTGTGATCTTCTATTTGTTTCTTAACTTCATTCGTTCTCTTCTTTATCTCTGTTTTTTTAGATTTCTCTTTAGATAACATTTCTCTATATTTTGGTAAAAGTACTCCTTCTATTTCTTTCTTTTCCTCATTTAGTTTACCTATGATTTCTTGGTAGGTTGCTGCCAAATCGTGCAATTTATGTCCATTGTGAGATTCCATAAGACATTTGGAACACACTGGCTCCTTGCAAGGAGAACAGTACCACTCTAATTTGTTAACTGTATGCTTCCCACAGTAAAGTAGGCCCATGGTTCCCTCCTTATTTTTATGCAAATGTATAATTTCGTGGTTTGAAGTTATTTTTCTTTTCTCGTGCTCTGCTTTACAGGATTCACAGAGATGACCAGGACATGTTTTACAAAGGAACTGGGCAGGGTTTTCTTCACAATGTTCGCATTCAACATAATGCTGAGCAGAAGATATAGCTGTTGCCATTTTATCATTTGATCTGAAAAAAGTCAGCACAACCTTACATAATAATGCTGATCGACAATGTAATATTGTTAAGGAATTATATGCAAGTGTGCTTAAATAAGTAACACAAGTAGTCACATATAAATTATAAAACGTATAAAAGCAACACGTTTAGAATTATGCTAGACTATATTACGGTCTAAACATTTTATATTTATTGAATCATAAACAATATTATTCTATTGTATTCAATCATGCAAATCAACTTTGAAAGGAGAATCCACCTTTGAGAATTTTAATGACCTTTTGAAAAATCGACGGCAATCATTTCGTGACTCACTTGTAATATAGAAAAAACACAGAAAACTCGAAAACAAATTCTATATATATGTATTTTTGGAATGTATACAGATCTAGCATGCAGTAATTTACATAAATTAGAGATTTTAAAGGCATTACCTGCGCCCAAGCTGTCCACAGGAACCTTTTCTGTCACTGAAACGTGCTATTAATATCATGCAAAACGAAAGTAGGAAATATTAACTCGAGAACTGTAACATTCGTATAAATTCAATAGTGTGCTTAGCCAAATATTGTTATGTGCCAGTGGCTGATTTTGAAGTTCATGGGGGGGGGGGGGGGGTTAGGGTCAAAGGGGAAGGGCATGGGAACGGGGTGTCCCCATGTCCTCCCATAGTCAATATTCAGTGGCCTCCTTCGAGAAATTTTGTTTTAAATGTTTCTAAATGTTGCAATTTCCAACAAATTTTTAATAAAACATTTTCAATTTTTATTAACTTTAATACAATTAGACATTGCTTTAAACATTTTGTTAAATCTTACAATATTAGGAATGCAATTCAAAATTGAATTCTTTTAGAATCCCTAACAAGTTCTTTCCACTTACTTGAGTATATTGCTAATATGATGTGGAATATAAACAAACATGTACAATTAATGATATTTCAAACTGAAATAAAAATAACATATACCTTTCTTCTATGTTTCAGTTTTCCAGCCAAGGACTCTGGTATCGTAATTTCAAGAAAGGGTATGTTTTTAATTTTGGAACCGGTTACGTTTTTGGTGCAGGTGATGTGTTTGGTGCAGGTCCAATATCCAAGTAACTATAAACCCTATGCTGACCAATATATTTAGATGATCACCAATTTTGCTCGGCATACTCGATCTGAGCTACTTTTTTCCAGTTGAGTAAACAGCTTCAAGTTTATGTTCAGATCCTTTTTCCAAGTAAATATTAGTCTTTTGTTGTCCAAACTTACATGGAGGATATATCTAAGGATACACTCTACCAGGCTTGCTTCAGTGGCTTGTTCTAATCTATATTTTCTGAATGAGTGAACGGTTTATGTTTTTGAAGCAGTTCTATGTTTCCAAGTATCTATAAAGCACTATGTTTACCTTTGCATGGTTGACTTAGCAAGGGATGTACACTACCAGGCTTGCTTTGGGTGGTAGATCTGACCTGCACTTTCGGGAGAAGTGAACAGTTTCATGTGTTGATGCAGTTCTCTGTTTCTAAAAACAATTAGCCCTATGTTGACCAAATAGTCATGTGGCATATAGTTGGAAAGATAAATGTAATTTTTGACTCCTTAATGCCATTTTGTAAACTGGCTGCTTTGGCCGACAGGGTCTGATTCTGATATGGCCAAATATCGAGATTTCTTTATATCGTGTGAATGTATTTGTGCCAGAAATATAGAGCATTTATCACAAAATGCTCAATAGGTTCCCTTTGGCTCAGTCGTAAAACGTTCATGTCCGATACTTCAAAGGACGCAAACTTAAGGAATTATTGCCTATGTTGGATCTAGCATTTCTTTATACTGTGAATGTCTATACATGTATATTGCCAGAAATGGAGCTTTTATCCCAACATTCGTTTAGGCGAGCTCTATAATTTCTGATTACTTTCTGTAAAATCACATATTTTCGTGGGGTCAAACTTTCGTGATTTTAGGAAAATATCTTGGTTCGTGGGGATTTGATTTCGTGGATCAAGAATTAAAGAGTACTTATGCATGTATTTTTTCTTACATTTCGTGGTGGATATGAATTTGTTCTACAATCGAATTCAGTTTAAATCTGAACTTTTCGTTAAACAAGGGTATTTTTTAGGGCTGTCACGGTTCCAAAATTTTTCGGGTCGGGTCGGTTCTGATTTTTTGAGGTTCGGTTTCGGGTTTCTCGGGTCGGGTAGGTAATGGATGAAAAGCTCATGATTTGTATTATTTTCAACAATAAAAAGAATATTCTCATTTAATCTTAGAAATTGCAACATTATAACTAGTTTAAAGTAGCCTCCTGACTTGACAACAACTGTACCAAATTATTTAAATCACCTTTCAGGGTTTCAGATTGAAATAAGTAACTATAGGACATCTGGCATATTTACCAAAAAAAGTTATAGGCCATTCTGTCCTAAACTTCCTAAAATTATTTAGGCCAATGGAAAAGTTAAACTAACTCAGATTTCTGTCAGACTTTTACAAAATAGTCATTTTATTACATAAAATATTCAAACATGTATATTAATTTTCCTTTTAATAAGGTGGAAATATTATTAAAATTAATATATTGAAACAGAATGGGAATTTTTTTTTTTTATTCCATTCAATGGGTATTTAACTTATATTAGTCCCACCTTTCATTACATGTAAATGTATTTATTTCTTGGGATTACAATTTTTAAAAATAGTAATTTAAAAATTAAACTTGTATCTCTGATGATATTCAATGTATAATTACGTTTAAAGATTACCTAGACTATTTTTTTCCCTTAGTAAAACCTTGCAACATTGTCCGTTTCCTGCTATTAGTCCGACCCCATATTCAATCATGGCGGTAAAAATAACAACATGGCATGGATTCCTTCGATGTTTTAAACATTCATCACTACTTTATGCTCCTTGCAGTTGGGTTTGGAAATAAAATTATAGAGTAGTTTGTCAAGATCTATTAATTTATACCAAAATGTCATTGGCTGATTGAATCGGCAGTTGCAGAAAGTAGAGAAAAACAATCGGATCTGAATGGAGGAAAAATTATACGACTGGCCTTTACATACAGAAGATAATCGGCCATTGTGTCTGTTCAGTGTCAAACTTATAGGCCAACATGGCAGGTAAACTTTTATTGGCAAATGGCCGACGCCAATCTGAAACCCTGCCTTTTAATGACAATTTACTAACAAAACTCTCGATCGTTTTTGACGCCATTTTATAGTAAAATCTACTCTATTATACAAATCGGAACCGAACCGAATTCCAGAAAAACGGAACCGTACCCGACCCGAATTAATTGTTCCGCGGTTCCGGGTCATTTCGGGTACCCGTGACAGCCCTAGTATTTTTGAATTATCTGTACTTTTCTTGTTTTTAACAGAGTGGTAAACTGATAATTCAATTACCATACATACTGTATACCTCTTTAATCTTGGTCTCAGCCTATAACTTATGGTAACATGGTGATCTCAGAGATCATATGAGTTTTCAAACATCTTAAATTTTGACCCAGCCAGTTTTCAAGGATCGAATTGGGACAAGAATACCTACAGAAACCCTCCATACAGGTTAGAGGACAAATAAACACAACAAAAGAAATGACGTTGGTCGTTTATTCCATGTAAAGACATGTATGATATAATTTACATAAATAGAGTCACGTGACCCAAAAACTACGATGTACATCAATGGCGTAACACTAATACTTTAGAAAACTTCCTGTCTATTGCAATGTGGGAAATCAAAGCATCATGGGAAAATAGAACATGACTATTTCGATGTTAAGATAGCATTATAATGCCCTTTCGTCTAATCTATAGAAGATTCCACAAGTAAAGTATTAGTAAAATGTCCCACTTACAATATTTTCTAAAGTTATAACACATTTCTATTAAATAAAGTTCTTGAGCAAAACAACAGTCATTGCACTGCATGTGGCTATAAAGAAAAAAGAGTTACGATGGAAACAGAACTGTGTTGTGACATAACTGACCAAATGCTACATTTTGTATTTTGTTCATTATCTAAAAATAGACTAAAGCATCAGGACTACCCTGGCGTGACCTTGAAAGTTTTAACGTCCTTCAGACACAAAAAGTCTACATAAAACCCACTACCAATGACGTCATACACAAATAGAATGAAATTGACTATAGCTAATGTCACTACATATTTCTGTAAAAACGAATATTGCATACGAACAGTGTTTCTTGTATGTTATAATTATCAGTTTAAAGTTAAAATGTTTGAGGAGGAAGCAAAGTATTTCATACTTCCATTTACATAAAATTCATTTTTCCAAAATATAAAAAAATTCATTGTAGTGAAATAAAAAAGAATTTATCCGAATTCAAAAGATTATAGTTTTTAACTAAAATTTTACCTAACAGTTCAGAAATCTTATTCCTGGATTGCAATTCTCGCAAAAAGGTGAAATAAAAACAGATACCCTGTAAATTCACAAATCCTTCACATTCTATTGTTTGCAATTTAAACTACAGAGTCGGTGAATTTTCGAATTTCAAGACATATTTTTACCGATACTATACAAAACTTTGAATCAACTACTGCATAGAATAATTTGCATTTTAAGGGGCTCTGCATATAATAAATTCCCTGGTACAACCCTTGTTTTTTGATATTTCGATTATTACCTCCCTTTGTTCTATCTTTCAATAAAAAAAAAATTGTGTGGCCTGATCATACAGATATTGCAAAAAGTAATGAGTATTTAACACTTATAAAGAGCAGAAAATTTGATCGCAAGTTGAAGTTGATTGTGAAATGTCCATGGAGCAATACCTAGATTTTTATACCCTGTGTAACAAGACTATAGCCCTCTATAAACTAAGGTATGATTATGCTCAAAGTAGATTTAGCCTTGTCTATAATCTTTCCTTGATTGGTCAATCAAATCAACCACATCTAAAACAAGTTATTTGATTGGTCAATCAATTTAGGTGTTATATTTGATTGGTCAATCCTCAATGATTAATCACTGGATTTCGTAGTAACACATTAATATGAGACAGACAATCAAAATTCATATAAGCAATATATATAAAATTGATAATAAGCATTATTTCGTAACAAGTGATCCTATTGGTCAACACGCAAATAGATACATACAACATTATAATAATAACAATCACACATTCCATTCATCAATTCTACAGCACTATTACGAATCAACAACATAAATTTAGAAACATTTGCATATTTGTCGACTTTTTGCGAAAACTCCATATTAATTCCATAACTCTAGCCTACCGACATGTAATTTTAAAACACACAATAAATTACTATTATTTATCATAAATAAAATAATACACAGATTATTAATTTCAGTAGACAAGCTCAACTAAAAAGGGTGTATTTTTACTGAAGGTGCGATTTAGAAAAAAAAAACAAAACAACGGAACAAATCTTACAGTGAACTGTGACGTTATAAAAGTAGTATGACGCAACAGTGTTGTGACGTAAGAACAAAGTCTGGGAAATATATCTAGATACCTTTAGGAAGTGTTCATCCAATGTCATGGTGTAAAAGGGGGAAATTGGCTTAAAATGGAATGTTAACTTTCTGTACAATCCTCGTTGGTAAGTGAAACCTTGAATGATGAACTCAGAAAAAAGAAAAGAAAATATGTGTTTTTGCTGGACTGTGTCATTTTGTTATTTAAAAAATTCTAAGGGATGTGCCGATTTATATTTAAAACACGGGTTGGGGTTACAATCACGTGATCTTGTTTGATTTCTTTAACAAGTGCATCGGTGCAGTTTAGCAGTCTACACAATATTGCTGTTGAAGAACAATTCACAGGGGGTTAATGACCCAAAAATCTGTCGTATTTTACTTCTCTGAGAACATTACAAGTAGCAATTTTGAGATCAAATGACTCGAACACAGTTATGCGTTTAAAACACAGGTGCAGAATACCTTAACGAATGTGATTAAAATTTCATTTATTTTTTTTTTATTTGACAGTCCAAAGCTAAAAAAAAAAACGAAAAATAAAATGAGGGAACAAAAGTGGAATATAAAAAAAAAAGATACATCATATACTCTACAGCTTAAATGACCGTGTTTTGTGCTGATAAAAAGACAACTCTATTGTAAGATATGTCTGAGATGCATGGACGGACGCGTTTTTATTACTTTGTTCATCTGAAGTCTGTTATAATATAGCTAATCTGCTTAAAAGGAAACCTCTTATTACGATAGCTCGTTTGATAAGATACTTTAATGATATTTATTTTAATCCTTACCAGGAATTAAGGAAGCAAACTTCGAGAAGTTCCAGTTATTCCCTTATGACAAAGTTTTACTGTACTTACTATTACTCTAATTAGTCGAGTTTCTTGCTTGATGGTAATTTATTTTTAAAAAATCTGATATTCTACTTCAGATGGTTTTTAAACATGTCCAATTGAACTTTTTATGACCTGAAACTTTGTTAATGTTATGAATTTACAAATTTTCAGTGAAAAAAATGGATTTGTATGAATATAACATGCATTTTTTAAATTAAGCTCTTGTGATGCACGTTATGTTTTATTTATATCTTAACTTTTAGCAGCTCAATGATGAAAAAAAATCAGTTTGGGGTTCCCAGATTTTAAAAATGATTTGTTCACAGGAAATCCATAAGGTCAATAAAATTGACAATTCTGACGAAGAAAGAACAGGGGGAAACATGATTTAAAAACTCCCTGGGAAATTGACAAAAATGTAAACATCAATAATAAATAACCTTACATCACAGCAAAATAATGAATACGTTATAATAAACCTGACACACACACCCAGAGGGTCAAAATGCCAACAAAAGTAGATCAGCTGACGTCATGTCACGTGTTCAACAACGATTCCTCAACATTCTTCATCTATGTGAGACATGGTAGAGACTGGAAATTAACAAATCAATTCTCTTTTGAATTCAAAATAGTGTCTTTTTAGATTAGCTTCAATCAGTATATAATGAGCATTCTTAATGTATTCAAGACTCAGATTTTGTGATGTTTTGTTGGATCACATATCTTGTGACGTTGACATCAGCTGACCTTGACTCTCCAATCACCATCAATCTATTAATTTATGCATATATATAAATATGCGTTCAATTTCATTACATAGATAATATCAAATATACAATAAACATTAAGTAACATGAATTATCTACAATGTCAAGAAACATATTGTATACGCATATAATTATATGTATAATATCTCATTGATAAACAGATATACCGAAAAAAAACCTCCGTTACTATATATAGTATAAATAAAATGACAAAAAAACAATCAATCAAACATTATGAGACGTTGATTTTTATCAAAGAATGAAAAAAAATTTACTCCAAATAAAATGTTACATCTCCATCATCACAGACGAGGGTCCTCAAGTAGACAAGAGAGAAAAAAAGGTGTTCCTATGAAAACACAACCATATGAATATTCATGAGAAAATCGTTGTCACGCCCACTGGGGATTGACCGAGTGCTTCGTCCTTCTTTCCCTGTGAAACAAAAACAAATTTAAATCTCTGTGTAACGTGGGTTTTTTTTCTGGCAGTGTTCGAAATATTGATTGTAATTTTGAGGTCCTTAAATAAGGGGCACACAAATTGATGCTATATCTATAATTTTATGAAAAGTAACTGAACTTTTTTCTACCAATGACCGTCTTAGAAATTTAATGCTGATTTATACATGTATGATAGACAGAAAAAAAATATATCTGAGTGCAATATCAAATAACGCAGCCTCATTTCGCAGCATTGTTATGTTTCTACATGTAACAATAAATTCACACCAACCAAAAGATGTCTCATTGTATACTTAATTTTTTCCTTTACTATTTTGATAATTTCCGTTTTTAAAATTTTGCTAAGATTATCAAGAATAACTTATTACTGCAAAAATATATCGATAATTTGTAAAGTAATTACATGCAGGGCGTTTGAAATGACAATGTAGTGCACTGCTGTGACACGTGATTAAACAAGCTGAGATGATTGGTTATACAACTGAGCTGTATATGAAATACCCGGTACTATTTCAGCAAATCTAAATTTTACAGGTTTCAACTTGCCTTCTTGATATTCTTAAAACGTGTTTTAGAGTTGTATCTAAAGTTCAGTACATGCAAAATCAAATAGGTAGATCTTAACTGAGGGAGTTGTAAATAATTTGTATTATCTCCCTTCAGATTACATAGTTATACCAACTTCCCTTCCATTCATGCAGTTAAGAGTGAATACTATCCAAGCCAAGCAGGAGAAGGTAACTCACAACCCTAACTTATCACTACCGCTCACCAAATTAATGTTCAATCTTGTATTCCATGTAAAAATTCTAAAAATTGATTTATATAACTCAGTTACGATATTTGAGATTTCCATTCATTTCGACTAAAAACTTGATTCTAAATAATACAAAATCAAAATTACATAACACCGTCTCCCCCACAATTGATTTATAAATTTTAATGAGCATTTTTTTCAAAACAATTATTATAGAAAAATTATAAACTGTCCCCCTGTTTCTGTTAAAGCAGTTACTTGTCCAAGACACCGTTGTCTCCCTTGCCTGGCTTTTAAGGTGCAGCAAGCAGTGGATGATGGCGCTATGTCTATAAATAAAACTTCTTACTTGCATATTATCGGTAGGTGGGTGGGGAAACATTAAAGTCCACTCACCACCTCCCCCATTTTATTTTTAGCATACTCGATGCGGATTCCGCCTCGATCTGAAGAAAGAAGGACGAAGCCCTGTAGCCGCCCCATAGCCTCGGCAGCTTGTCTCACATCCTGTTATAAAAACAAATACGTTAAGGTTCATCAGCCCTTCGCTAAGAGAGATAACTCTCTGTTTAAAGTCACTTTTTCCCTGTAAAATTCCTTCAGTCATTTGTGTGCAAGGTGTGCTAATATTATGCACGTTTTGGATTTTTTAATATTTTTTTCTAAAAACCGTCCTTTCCGTAATATTTTACAAGTTGAAATCAAATCTGAGGTCAGTTCATAACAATAGAACAGTTAACTACAATAATAAATCACTTACCTGAAATTCTACAAACGCTACGGGAGATCCGCCTTTGTTATGCATTCTTAGCCGGCTGAAACCCTGGAAACTAAAAACCAGAAAAGGGTGATTACGTCATTGTCACTGAAATCTCTCTGAAATCAGCTAATCTCAATTCAATTCTCATTTATTACGATGTATTGTCAGTTTTCCCTCTCTTCTGCCCTTAAAGCAGAACTTGTGTGAACAAATTAGCGGATTGAAATACAAAATGGTATTTTCATTTTTTAAAAGGGAATCATGTCAAAAACACATTTTAAATATCATCCATATAATAAATCGGACATTTTTTTTTCGTTTCTACCAGGTTTATATAAAAGCATTTTTTTTATGTCTCTTTGTGTATCATGATCCATATTTCATCAAAATTCTTGAATACTTCCAAAAAATTAACACTTAACAATTGGTGCTGGATTCATTGAATTCATTTTCATTTCTCTTTAAATATATACTTGGAATTGCCAAAATGATGTAAGTAAATATGAGTGGAGCGCCAAACCCAGGAGCAGTGCCATAAAAATAGAACTGCAGGGGGATCGTGTTGTGACCGAAAACGAGGCTGCATGC